TCCACAAGCCCGGCTCAAAGTTAGGCTTGACTTGTGAGAGCTTGGTCCACTAGGCTGTTGCTTGGAGCGGCCCGCAGGCCCACATACCCACCACAGCCCGGTTGGTCCCGCATGTTTTTTTTTAAACAATCTAGTTTTCTCTTGAAGATGTCCACGGTTATTCTGGCAATATTTCTTACAGTAGCTGGGAGGACGTTGAACAGCCACGGATCTCTGATGTTTATACAGTGTTCTCAGAGAACTTACGAGCATTACAAACTTACGAGCCGCAAACTTACGAGCATCATGAGAACGGGGATAGACCGCAGGCTGACTGGATTGAATAACCATAAGGACGACTTGGGAGACCCGCGCTGTGGAACAGAGAAGAAGGGAAACCGGGTCAACCCAAAGCGTGATCCCTGCCACTGAGGCCATGGCGCGCAAGTAACGCCAAAGAGCCACAACCGGACACAAAACATGATGCACCCCCAGCCAAACGAACCAAGCATCAACAACCCAAGGACGCCTCCTGAAAGCAACATTCTTTGCCAGAAAAGAAGGAGACGGCTGCAAACGAGCAAACTGACCACCAGGACCGAAAGAGCAGAAACCCTTGCACCGGAGGAAAACACACAGCTCCACGACCCAACCTCCAGAGGCCAATGCCAACAATAAAAAAAGTGCCTTAGGAAAGCAGTCCTGAACCAAAAGGGCCACCACAAACAGAGGAGTATAGAGAAAAGAGAGCATCCCGTCTAAAGGATCTGGAAGGCTCAGGCAGTGCATGGGGCAGGCCGGAGGTGAAACAACATCCGAGAAAGCTTGCGGAATGGAGCAGAAGTAACATCCATCCCAAACACAAGCAGAAACAGCTCCACCAGTGCCACACGATACGAGGCAACAGTATTCGGCATAAGATGATAGTCCTGAAACAATCCGATCAGAAATCGAATACACCGGAAATCGAATTACACCGATCAGAAATCGAATATGGAGCCGGTGGCTGAGCGGACAGAACACTGGATGCATGATCCTGTGGTACCTGGTTCGATCCCGGGCGCCGGTGAGAAACAATGGGCAGAGTTTCTTTCACCCTAGTGCCCCTGTTACCTATCAGTAAATAGGTACCTAGGAGTTAGTCAGCTGTCAAAAACAGCTTCCTGGGGGTGGAGGCCTGGTCGAGGACCGGGCCGCGGGGACACTAAGCTCCGAAATCATCTCAAGATAACCACCTACAAAGAAACAAAAAGTGCCCAAAAGACCGCCAGGAAATTTCATACTGCCATTGAGACGAAACTCGCAGTTGGAACACCATCAACGAAGCCACATTATCACCATATAAGTGGTGATTAACTAAAAAAAAAAAAGACCAGACGTGAAGAGTGGAGGAGAAGATTGAACCAGCCATGTACCGGACTAGATTGATCTGCCAAAAGAGGCGGAGCCCCGAGTAGACACTCTGGTTTGGACACCGAGAAAGCAGCGCCTGAAACCAGGGCTGGGCCGGCCACCAAGGAGCCAAAAGAACTACCCTTCCCTGGTAAGTCTCCAAGCAAGCCAGAACTTGGAGCAACAACCAAACTGGTGGGAAGAGGTACAGATAACCCCACCTCGACCAATCCAGTCAGAAGGCATCGACCCCAACGGCCTCATAGTCAGGTAAGGGTGCTGCATATACCAGAAAACATCTCGACCAAGCTGACGCGAAGAGGTCCACATCCAGGTGCCTAAACATCCAGCAGAGCCAATGGAATGAATCGGCGTTGACCGTCCATTCTGAGGACAGGGAGAATGAAACAGGACAGGCCGTCCACCAGTACATTGGAAACTCACTAGACATGAACCGCCAGGACAGCCAAACCCTGAGAACTTAGCAGATGAGTCACTTGAAGCGACCAGCCCCAAAGAGCCAAGGACTGCATCGAACCCTTGCAATTGAGACAATGAACCACAGGGAAACAGTCTGAATGGAGCCGGATCATTGATCTGCTAGCGACGTGAACCGTCGGAAGTGAATGCAACACCGCCACGAACTCTCAATCAGTGATGTGAGCCCGACGGTAGGATGAACCCCACTGACCATGGCGAACACTGATCACAAAGCCCCAGCCAAAAGACAAGGCATCCATGAACAGGCACCATGGAACAGAACCCCGAAAAACTCGAAGAGGAAGCCGGCGATGCTGCAGCCAATGCAAGGCCCCCCCTGGGTCCAAACCCAGCGATCACGAGAGTGGCAGAAGGGATGTCCCCAAAGGAACCAGAACAGCTGCCAAAGTCAGATTTGACCCGACGGGTAGACCAGCATGGCAAAGTTCAGACTCCGGCACAGCTGCTTGAACAACCGATGCATGACTCGGGTGCCCTCCAAAAACAGCCGAAGATGGGACTGAAGCCGTAGCAATGGCGCAGAAAGGAGAGACAAGAAAGCAGTCTGAGAGTCCCAGACAAGATCCAGCCAAGTCCGAACTTGAGAGGGAACTAAATGGGACTTCCTCCAGTTCATCAAGAACCAGAACCAGGAAAGCTGGGAAAGATCCAAGTCTCTGGCGAGCAGACACAATGAATGGCTAGGAGTTCAGACCAGCCAGTCATCGAGATAAGCCAGAACCCAAACCCCTAACTGATGTAAACAGGATCCACCACCCAGGTAAGGTATGTGAACACGAGGTGCCAGATTCAAGCCGAATGAAAGGCAATGAAAATGGCAAGCCTATCAACCCACGACAAAACCGAGTCAGTCCCTTAACCCTGGATGAATTGGAACCTGGCAATATGTGTACCAGTAGGTCCAGGGACGCTATCCAAATGCCCGGTGCCAAAAGCAGCCGAACCTGGGACAGAGTGCTCATCCAAAAAGGGGGGCAAAAGACCCAGGGGGTTTAGATGGGACACGTCCAGAACGAACCGCAGGTCTGCACAGTCCCATTTCGGAACTGGAAACAGGCAGGAAACCCATCTTAGGGATGCCGTCAAATCAACTACGTCTAAGCAAACCCACTCCAGGATGACCCAACAGAGTACAGGGGAAGAGGCTTTCCCTGCCAGCCCCAATAATCCCGAAAGAGTGGCCACCCAACGCCACTACAGGCCGGAGGATATGACCTGAAATGCTCACACATCATGAGACCAGACGAGAGCAAACAGGGAGAGCCTCCCCCCCCCCTTATCACCCCATCAATGGGGCGAACTGCAAGAGCTGACAACCCTTACAAGAGCCCGACCGATGCTCTAAGCAATCTAGTGGTGTTTGGTTAGATATTCCCTCTCTTATCTCTGGGACTTACCCTTGCTCTGCTGTGAAGACCTACTGGAATTTCTTATTGAGTTCCTTGTACACTTCCAGTTCGTAGTATTTGTCTACACTTATCCTCAGTTTCACGTTCCTTCAATGTTGTTTTTCTCCTGACGTGGCTGTGCAACAATTTAGGATGAATATTTGCCTTGTATTATATATCATTTTCATATTGTCTTTCTGCCTCTCTTCTCACCCTGACATATTCATTACTGGCTCTCTGGTATCTTTCTCTGCTCACTAGTGTCCTATTATTTCTATTATTTCTCCACACCCTTGTACTTAGTTGCAATGCTAGCTTTGCTAGTGGCTGTACAAGAATAAAAGAACTCTTGTATATAAAATATATAAATAACAATAAAAATGTCTGTAAGACCTGGAACACTACTGTCCAGCTGGACATCAGCAAATGAACTGAGTAACAAAGATGGCCGAGAGCAGAAGTCGGGCCACCTAGTGGTGGCATTCGGTACTATGAGTTTCATGTTAATTTTGAAGGTTTCTCTTGTTCTGTACAGAGGTGTTTGGCATTATTGATGATTTGGTTTTTGTTAGGCCTCTAGTTGTCTGTAAAGCTTTACTGACTTTCTGGATGCTTTACCTGTGTGGTGGAGAATTTTCACTTGCTCCCTGCACTTCTGTGAGAAGCCCAGGTTTTGGCTCTCCTCCCTGGAAGGCCAAAGGGAGCTTCCCCAGAAACATTGCAAAACACCCCAGAAATATATACAAAGGAAAGCCATGCTCTCGACTGGGTGGAAATTCACTGCAACCCAACTAACAAAGGTAAGAAGTAAAGTACCTACCTTCCACATGGGAATAGAATGCCATGCTACATGACACTAAGGTTGGGAGGCTTAGGTACAAGAGAATGCAAACATAAAACCCATCACCTAGAGACGACAGTGGGTGCGAGCAGCCATGGCAAGACAAAAGGCCACTTATCACTACTTTTGGTACTATCCCAGCAATGGAGTTATGTCAACCCTGTGAAAGCACAACACGGAAACCTCTTAACTAAAATACTGGTACAGTACGTAGTTATATGAACTCCTTGCACAACAGGTCTCACTGTACCAGAATTCCAAAGCACTACTTCACCTCGGATCAACTCGAGAGGAGTCTTCCTCAAGGCGGAACTGAACTCCTCAGAGAAGATAACTATTGGAAAATATTTACCAATTAGTTATCTTCTCCAACAGTGTCAGGAAACAGTACCTAAAGCACAGGCTGAAATTATTAAACCTAAGCTGGACCAATGGCCCAAGGAAAAGTTGGTCACTTAGCTATGACAGTTCTTTGGTTCATGTGGATACTAAGATGCATTTGTCGGACCAAGTGCCAGGCAGAGAGATACAATTGTATTTTGGACCAGACTGTCTGGCCTGTCACTTGGTGGTTGGAAGAGGAGTCAAAAGTTGGAATTATTTTTAGCTTAGTATTAGAGAGCATTGCTATGATAGCTTGGCAAGTGTGGCCTCTTTGATAGAAATTAGAGTAACTTTTCTATGTACTGGGTTGATCTTTGATCCTTATGTACTCCCCACCATATAAATGGGAACAACGGAAAATTGCAAGGGCCCTTGTTCCTTGTAGGCAATGAGAATTACAAAGGAATTTGATGTTGACTAACCTGAATATTAATGGCCAGTGCATAAGCTCATGGATCTACTGAAGGAACAGCACATGCAACACATGGGAAGAGACATACTACAATATTACAAACCTTAAAACTATTTCTAGAACAGCTTTCTGAGATTCTGTAAGCAGTTGCAAGTCCGAATCCTCATTGCTGAGATGAAGAGGTGTTGAATTAGATGACAGGGTTACTCCTGGAATTAAGTTGAATGCAGTAGAGGAGGAGGAAGCTGGAGGGGAAGTAGGAGTGGTAGATGTTGAAGAGGGAGACAGGGAAACATTTATGCCAGGCAGCAACTCTTCGGCAGAAGATAAGAAGACGCAAGCAGCATGATCAACGATGTCCATCACCAGCCAACTCTAGTTATAGAGAAAAATTTTCATTTAAAATCAAAAGAATAAAGTTTATTTACAAATCAAAGTGTACAATGTTACAATGAAGATTTTAAAATGCATTAAGGATTTCAGCCTAACTGCAGGAATGAAATACAGTGTGACCTCACTTCAACGAACTATATGAGGTGAGGCCAATTTGTTTCACAGCGGAATTCGTTCTACCCGTCGGACCAAGGCTGTCCCTCCCCTTCGTATGAAAATAACAGAGGTCCTACATCCACTATCAACAAAACAATTATCACAGAAAATCTATATATTATGTATTTATCATTTTGAACATGGCACATGATAGAACAATCATTGGTAAACAATTCCATATTAAATCATAACTATGTGACTGTTATTGGTGGCCACAAATACGATTTAATGGCCAAGATTTCCATAAGCTAATTGCATCAGTCTATATAAATATTCATAAACAATTCATTTATTATGAATTCTTCATTTTCACTATGACATTTGATAGAACAATCTCTTGCAAACAATTTGGAATAAAAAACCAGCGATGAATGTAATGAAACGCCATTTTCTGGGTGAGCCCCGGAGACTCCCTGGAGCTTATCGGGCTAATGTATGTTATACTAGACCGGGACATTAGCTAAGGAGTTCAGTCCTACCAAGGACCAACGCCAGAACCTGACCCCTTCAGAGAAGTTTCAGGGAGCAATGGCCCTGGAAAACCCCCTTGTGGTTGGGGTTTTCCTTATCTGCCATCGACCGGGGTTAGGCACCCAGAAAGGTAGGCATAACAAAACAAACCCCACATGGTAAAAAACTAAAACAAAAAACCGAACAGAGAGGTAGAAACTCCCTACAATCACAAGGAAACAAGCAAACAAGCAATCATCACACTTTACTGCTGTGCCGATCGTCCGCACAGCCCTCCCCGCCCCGAGAGGGGGAGGGGGGAGCCCCGGACCTACCACGCCAGCTGCCAAGCTTCAGTTCAGAAGCTAAGCTTCAACCAACACGAAAAAAACGCCGACCGGAGGGAGGGAGGGTTGCCAGGGAGCCTCCGGGGCTCACCCAGAATATGGCGTTTCATTACATTCAACGCTGGTTTTCTGTGGGGAGCCCCTACAGCCCCCTGGAGCTTCATACCCAAAGAGAAGGAAAAGAAAGGGCTAACCCGGGAGGCGGCCACCACAAACTCTGCAACGCAAAGCCGAGACAACAGGTCGCAACCTGCGACCCAAGGCAACAAGAACGCACAGGACAAGACGCGCATAAGGAAAGGGCGGCCAAGAACCTGTGCGACCCTCAAATCCCTGCGCCCGAAATGAGCCCTAGACGCCGCCAACACAGCAGCAAAAGCTGCAAACGTCTGAACAGCACGGGCGCAAAGACAGACCGCAGGTTGGAAGAATGAAAAACTCTGCGGACGACCTGGGAGACCCGAGCCCTGATAACAGGGAACGAGGGGAACCAGATCAACCACAGCGCATCCCCAGACACGGTATGCCGGCAATGGCAAAAAGCACAACCAGACAACACAGGGCGCACCTCCGGCCAAACCAATCAAGCATCAATACCCCAAGAACCCCTCCGGAAAGCAGCCGTCTCGACCGTCGCCAGGACGGAGAAAGGCTGCACACGTACAAATCTACCACCAGTACCAGAGCAGAAACCTGAACCGAAGGGGCTACCACAAACTGAGGAGAAGATAAGAAGAAACCCTGAACAAGAACCAGGACGGCTCAGGCGACGCATGAGCAGGCCGGAGATGAAACAAAACACGAGAAAGCGTACAAAATGTCATACAGGTGCCAAGACGAAGCTCGCAGGTGGGACACCGTCAACAAAGCCACCTGAACACCATAGAGATGGTGATACCTGCGTCAATACCAGACGCGAAGAGCCGAGGAGAAGGCCGAACCAGTCATGTACAGGACCGATTCGACCTGCCGAAAGAGGCGGAGCCGTGGGAAAACGCCCCGGGTTCGAACACCTATCAAGCAGCGTCTGCAAATAAGGCTGGGCCGGCCACCAAGGAATCATAAGGACTGCCCTCGTGGGAACGGGCTGCAACCGAGCCAGAACCCGAAGCAACAATTGGACCGGCAAACGAGGAACAGGTACCCCCATCTCGACCAGTCCTGCCGAAAAGTAACCACCGTGAATGCCTCGCAGGTGGGAAAGGGCGCCACATGAAATGGGCGATGCCTAGACCACGCTGACTCGAAGACGTCCATGGCCAGGAGTCCATACGTCCGACAGAGCCTTTTTTTTTTTTTTTTTTTTTTTTTTGCAGGGATAATCCTGCGCGGGCCCTAAGCCTCTGGCTGGCCCACTAAGTGTTGCTTGTTTCTGTTTTACTTGGGCGGAGTATGAGTATTTATGACTCGTATGGTCGCTTCAGTAAGATTTTGCCATATGTGTTTAACAACTTCTTCTGCTCTGTCGAATCTAAGTTGAAATCTTAATGGGTTTGTAACTGTGCACTGTGTTAGATAATGTTCCAGTGATCTGTCGGGCATTTCTCCACAGTGTTGACATTTCCTCTCATCTTCCGGAACCTGTAAGCCTATTTCCCATGCACATGGGTATCCAAGCCTGATCCGACAGAACCAACAACGAGGCGGCGACGACTGGCCAATCCGCGAAGAGGAATGAACCGAGACAGCTGACCGCCAGAATGCAGGACACACCCAGACTTGAACCTCAAGGGTAGCCAAACCCCTGTGGTTCCGGCAAGAACAGCCAGAGAACAGTCTGAACAGAGATGAATGGTAGAGCACTGAGTGATCCAAACCCTCCGAAGCGCAAACCAGACAGCCACGAACTCCCGAACCGTGCTGTGAGCCCGACGGACGGCCAGACTCCACCAACCTCAGCCGACCTGGTGAGCACTGGTCACAAAGCCCCAGCCGAGAGAAGACCCGTCCGTGAACACATCGAGCGAAGGCTCGGGGAGGTGCCAAGGCACGGAACCCCGAAAACCCCAAAGAGGAAGCCGGTGAACCACACCCCTGGTGAGCAGACAAGAGGACTGACTGGGAGCCCACACCAGCCAGTCGTCGAGGAAGGCCAGACACCGAATCTCAGACTCAGACAGGGCACTAAGATCCGGTAAAGATGCAAAAAAAATTTATACCAAGTGCCCATTACAAAATAGGGAAGGCAACAAAGCAGCAAGCCTGAAGCCCCACCACCAACTGTGCCAGTCCAGAAAACTGGAGAGGAACGTGCCAAGAAAGAACCTGGAGGTCCAGGGCCACCATCCAAGCACCCGGCCCCAACAGAAGTCGGACAGGAGACAACAGTCCTCCGAGGAGGGCATAGAATCCAGGGCGCAGACTGAAGAAGTGCAGAAGAAACCGCAGACGTGAAAAACCCATGACTGCAAAGAGCAGATGGGAACCCCAGAAGGATGGGGCGGATTGACCATGTCCAACGCACCCACTAAGATGACATGACGAAGCGCAGGGGAAGAAGCCCACCCCGCCAGCTCTGAACCCCCCTAAAGGGGGAGAAGCCGTCCACCGACGCCACCAGAGGCCGGAAGACAACCCAAAGCACCCACCAACAGCGGGACCATGCGAGAGGCAACAGAGCAAGCTGCTCCCCCAGCACCCCGTCAACAGAGAAGGGAACAGAACCCCTTCCGAAAGAAAAAGTACACAACTTATGTATATACACACACATATACATATACACAAACACACGTGTGTATACACATGTGCACACACTGCGTACACATACACATGTGCACACACTGCGTACACATGAACATGTGTACACACAATTCATGAGGAGAGACTACGGGAATTAAACCGCACTTCACTGTAAGACAGAAGAGTTAGGGGGGACATGATCACTACATTCAAGGCTCTAAAGGGAATCGACAGGGTTGATAAAGACAGGCTATGAAACACAAGGGGCACACGCACTAGGGGACACAGGTGGAAACCGAGTGCCCAATGGAGCCACAGAGATATTAGAAAGAACTTTTTTAGTGTCAGAGTGGTTGACAAATGGAACGCATTAGGAAGTAATGTGGCGGAGGCTGACTCCATACACAGGTTCAGGTGTAGATATGATAGAGCGATAGAGCCAATAGGCTCAGGAACCTGTACACCTGTTGATTGACGGTTGAGAGGCGGGACCAAAGAGCCAGAGCTCAACACCCACAAGCACAACTAGGTGAGTACTTACATTGTAAAAGAAAAGTACAAGTCGCTGACGAGTGGGCAGAGAGCACCACGCCGGCCAGGCAAAGGCACAAAACTGCATCAAAAGGCCCACCTCGTCAGCAAAACCTCAAAATCCCAGCACGACCACAACACGTGCCAAGACCCAAAAAATATCAGTCTGCAAGCCAGGAAGACCCCGGAACCCCAGAAGGCAGAACCAGGTCACACGAGGAAACAAAGTCCCCTGAACCCACAAAAGGGGGCCCAAGAGGAAGAAACCATCGGAACGAAACCAAAGAACCCAAAGGAACCCAGAATCGAACCAGGGGGAGCCCAAACCACCACAATTGCCAGTGGAGAACACCACAGAAAGGCAAAGCACAGCCCCCAGACAGAACCCCCTGGGAAAATGGTCATAACAGACCGAGGGACGTGGTGTGGGAGCAAGCATACTAGCCAGGGCACTGAGCCCAAACCCAAAGGCCCAGACCCAAACAAACAAAACGGAAAACCCGGTGTAAAATCAACACCCAAACATTCCCAGAGGAACAGGCAACGAGCAGAAAACACCAGAAAAGCAAAGAAACGACAACAGGAGAATAAAAATCCCTGAAAAAGGTGAAAACTCACCCAAGAAGCTCGCTCGCACACCCAGTCGCATGTAAACAAACCGCAACGCCGCCCTGGTGGCCACGCCGGGAAACTGGCAGACAAAAATGGCCGCCAGTAGGGGCTGTGACTGACGCTAAATATAAAAAAATACGCCAGCAAAAGTGGAAAGCAAGAAGACTGGATGGGCAAAAAATGCCGCCCAACAGCATAAAACCCAGG